TACAGCTCTCAGGTTCTGAGCCAAGAAGGCAGTTAAGCATATGCTTAACATAAGTACGTGTACAAGTCTCGTGAGCACGAGGGTCCACATGCTTAACATAAGTACGTGTACAAGTCTCGTGAGCACGAGGGTCCACATGCTTAACATAAGTACGTGTACAAGTCTCGTGAGCACGAGGGTCCACATGCTTAACATAAGTACGTGTACAAGTCTCGTGAGCACGAGGGTCCACATGCTTAACATAAGTACGTGTACAAGTCTCGTGAGCACGAGGGTCCACATGCTTAACATAAGTACGTGTACAAGTCTCGTGAGCACGAGGGTCCACATGCTTAACATAAGTACGTGTACAAGTCTCGTGAGCACGAGGGTCCACATGCTTAACATAAGTACGTGTACAAGTCTCGTGAGCACGAGGGTCCACATGCTTAACATAAGTACGTGTACAAGTCTCGTGAGCACGAGGGTCCACATGCTTAACATAAGTACGTGTACAAGTCTCGTGAGCACGAGGGTCCACATGCTTAACATAAGTACGTGTACAAGTCTCGTGAGCACGAGGGTCCACATGCTTAACATAAGTACGTGTACAAGTCTCGTGAGCACGAGGGTCCACATGCTTAACATAAGTACGTGTACAAGTCTCGTGAGCACGAGGGTCCACATGCTTAACATAAGTACGTGTACAAGTCTCGTGAGCACGAGGGTCCACATGCTTAACATAAGTACGTGTACAAGTCTCGTGAGCACGAGGGTCCACATGCTTAACATAAGTACGTGTACAAGTCTCGTGAGCACGAGGGTCCACATGCTTAACATAAGTACGTGTACAAGTCTCGTGAGCACGAGGGTCCACATGCTTAACATAAGTACGTGTACAAGTCTCGTGAGCACGAGGGTCCACATGCTTAACATAAGCATGCTTAGAAGTCTCGTGAACACGAGGGCCCCGTGAAGTAAAGATCTTGTGAGACCCATACATGTGCTTATGCTAAGCATACGCTTAAGTGCCTTTTTGGCTCAGAACCTGAGAGCTCAGCCCTTTTCGGAATCAATTCCTTACCTGCGCACACTTGCACACAGATTGACACATGGCTCAGGCGTGAGAACGGACATGTGGCTGGCCCAGTCGGCCACAGGCCTTTGCAGGATCAACAGTGACTTGTCCTCCCCAGGCTTCTTAAGCAGAGACCCCCAACAGTCAGCAGTAATGACAGAGAGCAGGGGAAAGAACTCCCCACGAAAATACGTGACCTCTCTTTATACTTCCTAACCCTAAATCTGCTGCTGCTTGAACTTCAGAGACTGGAGACTTTGGAACCAAACACTCGTATTTGCCTTTTCTGAGCAATCCTAATCTTCCAAACCTGTCCTATCTTATCAAGAAACCAGACGCTGCAGACTTCGCTGCCTTTTACAGCTGCTTTCTCACGGGAGAGTACGCTTGGCACAGCCTTATCCCAGACTAAAAGATTCCCTTTTGTGTCCAAAATGTTTGAAACCCCAGCTGAGGGAGGGTCCCGCGACTCCACCGTTGCATGCATTTGCACAGGACAAACGTGATCATATTTTGCACCATACATTTGAGAAGCTTTCTCTTATAGCTTGATAAATGTCTATGTTTTTTCCCCCCCAATGTAATCTTTAAAAGGCTTTTGATAAAGAGAAAAAGATAAGATTAACTTGTGGGTGTCCTTTTCCAAGCTAGGACCATGCCACCCAGACTTGGCAATTTTTAGAGTGGATTTGTTGGTTCATTAGAGACTTTTCAAAATTCCTAGGATCAATACTGTGCACATGAAAATAAGGTCATGTTCAAAGGGAGAGGGGTTTTGTTTTGTTTTACAGAGATAACCATTTGACTAGTGGCTAAACCTTCCTGGCTACAAGTTCATCTGCTAAACTAACAACTATGAAGAATGGACCTCTTTGTTACCCACAACCTGAAGTTTGTGGTTTTAGTAGGAAAGGCATTTTTGGTGATCAAAGCTAATATAATAAACAGTAGTGGCTTGATGCTACATCCAAAGTTTTCTTATGTTTGGAACAGGAGTTAAATGCACACTTCAGTTCCGTAGCTACATGGAGAAGGCACGACCGACACAAGTTTTAAATGGCATGGCATATGTAAGTTGCAACCGAAACTAAACAAACCAAAATATGGCACTCATATTGTTCCAAGTTACGTTTCTCACTTCCTGGTTGACAACACGCATGCGTTAACTTCAATGCAACTCTTATCTTCTATCTGTAATCACGGCTATCGGGAGAAAATAAATCACATAGCCCCAGACTCTTATTAAGTGTTGCACCATTTGAAATTACACAGTGGGAGAGAAGGTATCCAATTTCAGTACAACCCGGGTCACATTATCATTACGTTGTTCAAGTAAAAGCTAAAATATCTCTTCTACTGCGGAAAACCTTCCAGACGTCCAACTCAGATAACAGAGAAACTAAACCAACAACATCCATCGGAACTCTGGTTCTAAAATTCTGCTGCGACAATGAATGGCTATTTACAAGTTGCCATTAAAAGCTAGGCACATCAGCAGCACTGTGGACACAGCACGGAACTAGCACATGCTCCATTGCACGAGGAGTTTTTGCTCAAAATCACCAACATAGTTTTATTTACAATGTAACTCAAACCAATCCAAATCCCCGCTATCAAGTTTTCCCCTGCCATGGGCAACAGTCCCATGTGATTAGTATGTCAAAACAGGACGGCATATTCAACGGCACCAGAAGAATCCCAAAAGACAAGGAAAAACATACCAGGGAGAAGAGCAATGCCAATCCACACCGTGTAGCTCTTCCACAATGAGGGAACCACTTAAACAGCTTAAGAAATACAGCGTTCTCCCAGAGCTCAGGGCGAACTCTTTGATGAGGTAAATGGAGTAGGACAAAGAGGAGGTCTCCTCAGTTATGAGACTGGCCAATAGTACCTCAACTGATGTTTTGATCATTCGCAGCCCCTCCTGCCTGAGTCCCCAACACCGCTACGATGCAGTTTATAGCTGGCCCTTTAAGCAAGGCCCAGGCCCTCTGGCCTGAGTCCACAGCACAGTCACAATGCAGCTCAGGGGTTATAGCGGGGCACACCCCCGGGTAGGGGGACCCGGGCCCACCCTACTCCACCGGGTCCCAGCCAAGGGCCCTGTGAGTGACCGGGTAATGGGTCACTCCCTCGGCGGGGCAATCTGGCTGAAACGCACTGAGGTTCTCTGGGCGGGAGAGGCAGCTCCCGCTCCTGCCCTGGGCCACTTCCTACCCAGTCCCCGGGGGTGCCTTCCCCTGTACCTGCCCAGCTGGCTGCGAGCTCCGTGCCGGCGTCCCCTCGGTCGGTAGTCCCGGGGTTGCCCCAACTCGCCTCCGCGTCCTTCTCCGCCTCTCCTGGCGTCCCCAGCAACAGCTGAGAGGGAGCTCCCTGCCCCGGTCCTTCTCCTCCGGCCGTCTCTCCAGACTGAGTCTTTCCCCAGGCTTTTATAGCCCTGCTGCAGCCCGGGCATGCTCGGTAGAGCTGTGGGGGAGGGGCCTCTGCAGCCAGGTAACCCTGGCTGGGCCCTGTAGGTTCAGTGCGGGGCTGCCTCGCCCCGTCACAGGATGCCAGAATTCTCTGATCTTTAAGCGTGGTTGTAAACCCAATCATCAGCAACGGTCTCGGGATTTAGAACACACAAAAAACTTGTACCTTTTGGTGTGCGGAACAAGTGTGATATAATCCTACTAGGCAAAGGCGGCATAGGACCGGAGCAGCAGCTCCCAGATCTACTTGGTTGATGAACCACTGTCTTAAACACAGCTGTGAAGTGAGCGGGTGGAACATCAAGCTCATACACCTTGTTTTGGAAACCCAGGACTAGAAGGCCCGTGGTCGGGGCAATCTCAGGCTGGCTGGGAATGGGCAAGTTCACCAACCAGCCCCCCCCCCAGCCATGATTCTGCAAACGGGTCCAAAAGCAGGATGAAAGGACGCTCACTCCCTGAGTGCATGTGATAGACCACCAGCCATTCCGCCAACATCTTGTCCCTGCCACCTGAGGTTCACCCTCAGCTGTGGTATCTTAGCATGAAAACTAGGTCTCAGGCTGCGGACTGTGACCTCCCACCCGAAATGTACAAGCTGAAAGAATGGTTCGGGCTCACCGCTCCACTCCAGGAAGTGGAATTACACCGGGGATGAATGACATGGAGCTGCACCAGGTTCCTCTCTACAGCAGCTTACAATCGAAGTCTCCAAGACTGCAACGGGCTTGCCAGGGACTGGACCTCAGTGAAGTCCCATGAAAATCAATGAAGTTCTGTGCAGATGGAGGGTAGCCAATCCCAGAAAAAGGGTCGAGAACCGTGGTGTCCACCCAGTTCTGAAAGCACTAGCCACTAGCCACACTCCACCGGGCAAACAGCCACATTGCCTAGAGGCTAGCGTGTCGGACACCATGGATCTATGGGCTGATTTTGCAAACTATTGCTCCAAGACTTCAATGGAATTGTACGGGAGAATACTTTCTGCCCCCAGCCCCCTCCCCCTCGCCCCCTGAGCAAGGCTCTGCATACTAGCTCCTGAAACATCACAGTTAATCCACACAGTGACTATTCGCCAGGGACAGAAACAGAACTCTATTCAATCAAAATATTGGGCGCTTAGAGACCATTCGCAGCTCATCCTTCTGGGTCAAGGTTTCAATAGGATCTTCTCACAGTGATTTTTTCTTAAAGTCTGCACAACTCTCCAGAGTAGGAACGGCGTTCCTGCCCTACCTTTGAATCTCCTTGCTTTTCCAAGCATTCCTCAGCCAATTAAAACCATGTTGATAAAGCTTGGCCTATACAAATAACTCTACTAGACCAACCAATTTGAACAGCCCCTTCACTTTTTTGTTTTCCCTGGGAATCTCACATGCAGAACTATATTTCATTCGGCTTTTCTGCGAACCCAGCCAGAACAGCTGCAACCCAGCAATCATTCAACTGATGTGTTAACGTCTGCCAACCTGAGAATTCTCCAGGGGTGATGTTTGGTGAGTTAGTAGCCTCTGTTTCAGTGTAAGACAACGTGGAATCTGATAGATCTGGAAAACAGAAGGAGAGTGTTTAGTACTTATGCGCCACAAATGTGATATAATCATCCACGGGCATACGGTGCCACTCTCAGCCCTTCCACAGAGAAACAGCGGCTGAGCCAAGGTGGCAAGTTAAGTGCTTAACTTTTCTTCTCTGCCACGCAAAAATGAAACGTTTCAATTGCTTTGACCACAAAAATAACTGCAGTTCAGTTGATGAAACAAGTAGAAACTTGGTGCGCACTGGATAAAGTTACATTAAGCCGCTAAACAATTCATAGTTACTATACTTAATTATCACCATTAAAATTCTTGAAGCTGTTTATTCTTGCTTCTTTCCTTCCTTCCTCTTTGCTGAAGCTAAGGAAACTTTGTTTTAACAAGTTAAGAGTCCTTGTTATTCTCTTTCTTGCCCCTTTAATTAAGCGCTCCAGTGTTTGCTCACAGATTATTTTTTCAGGCAAATACACCCTTGAAATACATCTGACCGTTTTCCGTACCTGCAGCACAGGTAGCTCCTAAACGGAATTAATGATGAGATTACTTTTCTTATGTAATGTCAACGAACACAACTGGCCCTTTTGCTTTCTGAGATACTCCATGGTTGGACCTTTGGAGTGAACCATTAGACATGAAGCAAAACCCACTGTGAGCAACTTCTCAGGGTGAGCTGGTGAATCTAGTAAGGGGCAGGGACTGCACCCCCCTAAATGTAGTCCCAGGAAGCACTGTGTCTCAGAAGCCCCCTGCCGAGACACCTAGACAGTCGCTTCTCATTCTGTATGTGTGAAACTGATTGTTCCTTCCTAAGTGGAGTACTTTGCATTTGTCCTTATTAAACTGTATCCTATTTACCGCAGACCATTTCTCCAGTTTGTCCAGATCATTTTGAATTATGACCCTATCCTCCAAAGCAGTTGCAACCCCTCCCAGCTTGGTATCATCTGCAAACTTAAGAAGCGTACTCTCTGTGCCAATATCTAAATCATTGTTGAATATATTGAACAGAACTGGTCCCTAAACAGACTCCCTGCAAAACCCCATGTTTTACGCCCTTTCACAGGATTGTAAGCCCTTTCACAGGATCGTAAGCCGTTAAGAACTACTCTCTGAGGGTATGTCTACACTACCACCCTAGTTCATTTGCATGTTGCCGGGCTCCGCCATTTTTAAATGTCCACTAGTTCGGACTCCGTGCTCCACAGCTACACGCAGCACGAACTAGGTAGTTTGGACTAGGCTTCCTATTCCGAACTACCTGTACTCCTCATTCCACTAGGAAGCCTAGTCCGAACTACCTAGTACATGCCGCGTGTAGCTGCGGGGCACGGAGTCCGAACTAGCGGACATTTAAAAATGGCGGCGCCCGGCAACATGCAAATGAAGCCCGGGAAATTCAAATCCCGGGCTTCATTTGCAACTCCGGTTGCCTACATTACCACCCTAGTTCGAACTAGGGTGGTAGTGTAGACATACCCTATGGGAGAACTGGAGGAGTAGGGCCATGTCTTCACTCAGTGGAAGGTCAATTAGATGGCAATTGATCTTCCAGAGTTTGATTTAGCGGGTCTGGCTAAGACCTGCTAAATCAAACTCAGAGGGTGCCCTCAGTGCCAGATGGTACTCCTACTCCTGCGAGGGGTGGTAGTGTAGACATACCCTATGGGAGAACTGGAGGAGTAGGGCCATGTCTTCACTCAGTGGAAGGTCAATTAGATGGCAATTGATCTTCCAGAGTTTGATTTAGCGGGTCTGGCTAAGACCTGCTAAATCAAACTCAGAGGGTGCCCTCAGTGCCAGATGGTACTCCTACTCCTGCGAGGGGTAAGGGAAGCTGATGGGAGCATTTTCTTCGATCAGCCTCCTGCTGCAGGGACAGCAGGGAAACTCAAATCAAGGTACATCAACTCCAGCTGTGTAATTAACGTAGCTGGAATTGCATATCTTGATTCGACCTTCCCCTTTAGTGTAGACCTGCCCTGAGATACCACACAATCTCAGAATCTGGCCCACTGCCTATAGAGTCTCACAAGAAAACCACATCAAACCTTTCCTCTTTGAGGTGCACTTGTTACTTCCTATTTACCTGAATACCATGAAAGCCAGGGCAGAATTTAGCACAGCATCTACTAAGGGGTATTTTTAAAATTTCCCAGTGACAATATGTGCTTTGGAAGGGTATGTCTACACTACAGAGTTTTTTTCAGAAAAACAGCCGTTTTTCCGAAAAAACTTCAATTACGTCCACACTGCAATCACATTCTTTTGAAAGGAAATTAAAAGAACAGAGGGGTTTTTCCGACATTGGTAAACCTCTTTCTTCGAGGAAAAAGCCTTTTTCCAAAAGAGCTCTTTCAGAAAAAGGTGTGTGTGGACGGAGAAGAGGGAGTTCTTTCGAAAGACTAGGAAAGAGAAAAAAGCACAGGTGCTCTGGTGGCCACTCTGTCCATAGTAATCACAGCTTACATGCGAGACAGCGTCCATTCAGTGTGGACGCTATCTTTCGAAAAAGCAGATCACTTTTTCGATGCACTTTTGCTGTGTAGACGCTCTCTTCTGGAAGAATTTTTTTGGAAGATCTCTTCCAGAAAAGCTTCTTCCGAAAGAAGCCTGCAGTCTAGACATAGCCAAAGGCATTCGCTATTGAATTTTGCCAACTTTAAAAGTTGGTCAAATTTTATGCCTCGCCGTGACCACATTTATTTAAATGAATATTTTAAAAAGTCAGAATAATTCATCAGAAAAGGTGAAATTCCATTCAAATGTTTTACAGTGTGGAGCTTAAAGAGCCCATGTCTCCGTTTGATAAACACTATACTGGTGATCCTGAGCACTTACATCGCGCTCTTCGTCTCAAGAGCTTAAGGAACTTTTCAGTAAAAGTATAATCATCCCCATGTTACGGGGTGATATGCCCCCGATGAGAGAGCAGGACACTTATAGAACCAGGCATTCTGACCCTCTTTCCACTAAGCCAGCCAATTTATATGATAAAAAATGGATCTGTCTATCATTACATCTTCATTATTAATGACAGCGTTTCACTTGAGTGCCGATTAATCTGAAAAATACAGAGGCAGCAAGGAATGCGAATTAAGAAATAAAAATTAAAATGTGGTCATTAAAATATGATAAAAACATACACATTATTTTGTTTCTAGTCGTTCTATTTCTGATCACTCCATCAGCTGATGCTTGATCAGAATCAGAGAGGAGTAAGGATGTAAAATCTGGTTTAACTGATTAAAGGGGGGAGTGTTGGGGAGGCACCCTCCCCCCCCCCGCCTGCTGGGGTCGGGCTAAAGTGGCCCTCACTGCTCCCACCGCAGCTCCCAACCCTGATGTGGGGGCTGCCATGGCTCCTCTCCTGATTCCCCACACAAGGGTTGCTGGCTCCCAGACCAAGCCAGCTGGGAGCCGGCAACCCCCCATGGGGAGCCTAGCAGGGATGGAGCAGCTCTCTGCCTACAGTCCTGCTCCCAGGTATCGGTTAACCATTACTTGTAAGCATCGCCCATTAGGGGTGATGCTAACTGGGTAACCGACTACCTGTTATCCCTAGTGAGGAGCGACACAGTCCTATATTTTGACATTTGTCTTACATACCAAGCTGGAAACAAGCCCAGTAGAAAATAATACAATGTGTTGGTTGTGAACTGTGAATATCCTGAGAGTTTGTAAAGTGAAGATACTTACCCAGTGGCTTTTGCTCGTCATGAGGAGACAGCCGAGAATAAGGAGGCGGTGGCGACTCTGGAAAAACAAGACCTCGCATTAATGCTATATCAGGTTAAAAGTTCCAACCCTAAGAAGTAATATTTCAGTGATAAGGTAAATCCTGGTTCAGAACAGTCCTATGCAAATAAATCTTGGCCAAAAGTTTTCAGAAGCAGCTGGTGATTTGTGGTGCCCAATGTAACACACCTGTAAGGCGTTTCCAAAAGTAGTGGGCACCCATCCCCTGAAATCAGGTTCCTCTGGGGCATCTCCAAAAATCCAGTTATCCAACTTCAGTCCTTTTTGAAAAGCTTGGCTTTTATTGTCTAAAATATTCCTGTTTCAAGACATAACCATGGGATTCCCTGGATACTGTGTCACAAAGACTAAGGAGCTGCACAATGTTGATAAAAAGACTTTCTATCTATACACCAATGTAAATCCAGGAAACTCAATGAAGCAACTTGCTCTGTCTCTAAAACTTCCTAGATCAGTGTTTCTTAAACTGTGTTCTGCGGCGCCAAGGAGAACAACAAAGTTCAAAATGGCCACCCTTAAAGGGGCAGGCAACCTTTTCTTTTTTTCCCCCACAATAACTTTCCTCCCGACCCTTTTTTGTTTTTTGGTCAATAACTTTTCCCCGGCCCCTCCTTT